TGTTTACTGGTGATGCATATTTGCACAAACTGCGATGCACATAACCCCATATATTGCTCACATTGATGAGCAAAGTAAGAGGGAACATGCCAGCAATGCAGGAGCAGCACCACCCAAAAGTCAGGCAGATCAAGACACAGGGGGCCCACTGTCTATTCTGCCCTGGGGCCTAGCATTGCTGCCAGCAGGCCTGCCAAAGCCTGCTTGTCTGCTCTGCCCTGCTACCTGGCAACCAGAGCCCACAGCTTCTTTGTTGTACTGTCTTTCCAAGGGGCAGGAGCTTTTACAATGTTGGATGCTCTATGCTCCAAGACCCTGAGTCCTCTGCTGGGCCTAAGGGACAGAGCCTGACTATTTCCTGCTCTGCGAAGTCCCTTGCTGTTGGTGGTGCCCATTGTCATGGTGAGGTGAGGAGGCTCCCCCTCCCCCCCATTGACCCAAAGGAGGAGGGACCCCTGCAAACCCACAGCACTCTCTCGTGTTAGCTTTTTCACACTGTAAATGTGCTGCTGAAGTTGTTCTTTAGTTCAGTGTTTCTCAACAAGTGGTATGAGAGAGAAGCCTGGGGGGTACGTCAACACCTGAAATTTGGAGAAAACTGATTTTTTGTTTTAAGTTTTACAGCGCTTTCTTATTTTTCTACTTTTTACACCCAAAAATTTCATCGCCTGCCCAGCTATGATTAAGTTGTTTAAACAAATGTGTTGCAATGGTAGGGAAAAAAATGTGTCTCTCTGAAAACTGTAGGTACTGGGAGTACTTATTGTTTTTTATAAGGAGTACTTTATAAAAAAAGGTTGAGAAACACTGCTTTAGTTTACTTGGGGAAAAACCATGCAGTGTTCATCTGACATGGCCCATTGCTAGGCAATCCGGCGTGGGATTAGAAAGCGCAGCCTTACCCCTGTCAGGGCAGGGTGGCTGGGGATCCTGGTATCAGCCCAACATGGTGGGGGCTCCTGCTGTCCCTGTCTTCACCTCCCCCATCTTCCAGGTCCATCTGCATAATCCCCAGCCCCTCTATAGAGAGAGAGAGACAGACAGACAGACAGACAGACAGACAGACAGACAGACAGACAGACAGACAGACAGACAGACAGACAGACAGACAGACAGACAGACAGACACAGAGTGAGAGAAAAATCAAATACCACCACATTAACTATTTTGACCACCACCAAGCAGCATAAAGTGCCTCTGAACATGTAATCCCGTGGTATTAAGGATCTGGCTACTGAAGAAATGGTACCTCTTTTACAGTGTTCATTGCATTGCTGGAAAGTTAAATCCAACACAAGTAAAAATTAACACTAATTATAATAGGAACAATAGGAAAGCAAGAAAAAAACTAATTGGTAAAGAAATTATTTGTATTGCTTATGATTATTACAAAGAACTACCATAACCAACTCATTGGGGAACACTGACAATGGAACATCATTTAGCCTTATTAATAATAAACAGTTACCTGGCATTGACCTCAGTGTGCATCAAAAGGGATGTTAAAGCGGCAATGTTTTGCCAAATTCCTTGCTAGGTCCAGGCACAATCTGAAGTCAGTGACAGTGCATGCTAATGGAGACCCATTTCATTCCAAATGACCTGATTCAGCGTCAGGTTGGCAGTTCTGAAGCCCGGCACAGCAATGTGTGATACAGGCAGTCCCCGGGTTACGTACAAGATAAGGACTGTAGGTTTGTTCTTAAGTTGAATTTGTATGTAAGTCGGAACTGGCGTCCAGATTCAGCCGCTGCTCTGCCCCGGGCTTCCTGGAATCAGCCGCTGATCAGTTTCAACAGTG